GAAGAAGAAGAAAAAGAAGAAGATGACGATGAAGAAGAATAAGAAGAAGAAGAAGAAGAAGATTAAAAAGGGGAGTTATAAAGGCTTAGGTGGGGCATAGCACTCAAAAAAAAGTTGGGAAACACTGCTCAACACGTTTTCTAAAAGGAGAATTCTAAATAACTTACAGGGAGGATGGAGGGTGTTGAAGGGATTTGAGTCTCAGGGAACCGGTGCCCCTGCCGTGAATCTATCGTGCAAATTAAACGATCAGGGCGGGGCTGGATTTTCAGGTAGGCTTAAAAATAAGGATTATATGAGACAACTAAATCACAGTAAACGAAAGGAAAGAAAAAAGTTAGACACTGCATTTCTTTGTCTGTTTCCTGAAATGATTATATGAAATGAAATACAAAGGTATGATAACATTCAGCAGGGGAATTTGAAAAAAGAGTGGGGAGGACATGTATACACGCGCGAAGTTATCTTAGAACAGTGGTTCTTAACCTACTTAATGCCCCGAACCTTTAATATAGTTCTTCATGTTGTGGCGCCCCTAACCAAATACTTTTTTTTTTCATAGCTTCTTCATATCGTCAATAAATATGTGTTTTGCGGTGGTCTTTGGCGACCCCTGTGAAAGGGTCGTTCGACCCAAAAAGGGACGCACCCACAGGTTGAGAACCGCTGCCTTAGAAGGTCTTGGAAGGATCATATTCCGGGTGAAAAGCAATCGCAATGAAACTATCATGTTTTTTTTTTCTCCAGGATATTACTGTGGTTTTGCAGTTTCATTTTATATTGTGGCATCCGACTGTAGTGCATTATGTTTGGTTTTTATGTATATGCTAGATTTAATTACCCGTCTTCACCCATGATAGTGAAAGAAAGTTTTATTCTCCCCTCTTCGACTTTACCTTGGTCGCCACCGCTGCCCTATTTGTAGACCTAGGGAAAATCGGGGTCTAACTAAAACAATATATCGATTTCAAGGCGATAGCAGAAGAAAACTATTCATAGTCATTTATTATTATTTTGAATTTTGAAACACTGAACTCTTTCTTTAGTTGACTACCGATAATGGTCATGTGTGGGTAGGTCTCGAATGCAACGATGTCAGTTCTTGATTCGTTGAGTATTTTATAAGTTTAACTCTGTACCAAAATAAACAACGTACATTAAAAAAAAAATGGCTTTAGTTCGCAGATAAAAATTGCATTGCTTTAAATTATTGCGATTGTAGTCTGGTGTTTGCTAACACAATGATGGTGCTTAAGTGTTATCTCCACAGGAACTGCCTCGATCTCCGATTGTCGTTATGTGAATTTCCGTGTCCCGTTGAACAGTGCGCTGGTCCGCCGGTACATCCATTCAGGGTTTATTCGGTATATATGTTTAGTTTTATTTTTAATTCTGGAACGTCTGAGACTCTGGAATCAGCCTATTTTTTTTAAAAAAGGGGTCTCAATAGTGTTTCGAGGAAACGAAGGCTCTAGTGAGAGGGAGTCGACAGCAAGAAAGCAAGAAGTAGATAGAGCTACAAATAGGATGACACCATTAAAAAAAATGAACGAACTTTTCTGACAAAGTGAGTGTATAACTAAGATTAGAGAAAAATGGGGAAGATTCATGACAAACAACCTTTACTCTGGATACTACTGGAGATGACAATTGATGTGTTGATTGTTAAAGGACAGTCTACTTGTTCCCTCTCAAAATAGAGATCCAGAATCCAAACAGTGGGGTCACACTAACTGCATGTACTTGAGAGGCAAGAAACTAACAGCCTGTATACAAATCAGTCAGATCTGTGAAACTGATGTGCACGCTATGCTGAGGGTCTGAAGTAAGACTACAGACCAGAAGTTGACGAAGAACTATAACTTTCCGCCGGAGTTTACAACCTTTGAACGCGAAGAAGAAATACTGAAATACTTGACCTAGGTGGTCAAGAGTCAGTACCATACATAAACAGTCAGTTTATCCTTTATAGAAAATCGCAAATCAAACCCAGTATATATTTATGTTGCGTGATTCTTCTAGAATCTAGACAATTGTATAATCAGTGGTGCCAGAGCCTACCAAACAGTGCGACGCTCACATTTTTTTCTTAACATTCCAAACGGTTGACTAACAAAGCACCAGCAATAAAATACAATCACGAAAGACACATTTAACGTTGTGACTGGAGGTACATATAGCCTTCACATGAACACATGAAATGGATAATTCGAGGACTCCATACAAGAACACAAATGTTGCATGTGACTTCAAACCAGTGTATGGTGGGATTTGGAAACCGTTTGTATCCTCTTAACCACAAACCAACTGTTGGTCTTCTTCTCCTTTTTTCTTCTTCTTCTTTTTCTTCTGATGCTGCTATTAACCACTCGACCCCCCCCCCCCCAATTAGGCCATTTGGCCAGAAATATAATGGTTAGTGAAAGGAGGTGAGACCAGACAAGACTAAGCAGGCAGTCAAGAAGAAGAAGATAAATCAACACAGAACTGCCGAACTTTAACAATTTGTAACCGTTAGGTGTAAGTTGTTGCAATTTGACATGCAACCAGTGAATAATAAATAATGTCCTTGTAAGTAATTCTCTTTAATGTTTAACATTTAGTTTTCATTTTCATTATTTGCTGCATATGATTAAAAAAAAAAAATATTCAAAGCAAATAATTAGCATGTTTACAGAAAATTGGGACTATTCAAAACATCCAATTGCGCGCAGGTCAAAGGTGTTTCACTCACAGGTGGTCATCTCCAGCATAAAAGCCTCCCATGAGTTGCGGATTTTCACTGAGTAGGGAATAGGCTATCAAAATAATCACAACTCATCGCTGCAGATGTGATTTGATTTCTAAAGATGCGTGTCAAATACTCACACTGTATGTTCTTTTTTTTTCAGGGGTACAGAAATTATGAGTCAAACAAAGACCTTAGAAATTCGCCGCTTAAAAAAAAAAAAAAAGCATCTGCGCTTAAAACAAGGTGTTTCGTCCTTTTTAGGACGAATTTTTTTGTAATTTGAAGCCCCACCCTGGCTTTTGCCAGGGGTCGCAATATAGGCAGGCCATAAGTATGGCCAATTGTCTGAACGCGGTTTCTGGGACCTCTCCACGGCGATCCTCATCCACATGGTGGCACTTTGTGTCATCGGGTGTTTATCGCTTGTGTGATGTCCAGGTGGAGTAGAAAGTCAGTCAGTCAGTCAGCATCTGCGCCATCGTAAATTATAGAATCATAAGGACATGGGATTTCTAAGTACACATGTACAAATTCATGTTGATCTGTAAAGGAGTTTTCGAGATGTTAAAGTGTGACGGCATGAGTTTTGAAACGCACTCTTCTTCCTTTATTAATTAAAATAAAAGTAATCACTGTGACCCGGAAGTTAAATAATCGCAACCGGGGCTTAGGTAAACTAGACTAAAACAAAAATAGTAAACATGACTATATGGTGAGGTTGCGCTGAAGATAACCGTTTTGATTTAGCGAGTCAGAATGATACAGTTTATTCTTATTGTGAATAAACAAGGCAGGGTGAGAATAAGAAGGTAACTGTGGCGAAATGATTTTAATATCGATTTAAAACGATGCGGGTAGTGTAGGTTTGGACGCTGGCCTGCAGGGTCGAAGGTCTTGGGTTCGAATCCGCATCCTGACAGATTTGGTTCAGAAGGGACCTTGGCTCTCAGATCGACCCAGCATAATCATGGGTACCTGTTAATGTCCTCTAAAGTAGAGGCGGTCGCTTAATTTAGCCTACATCACCCAACAAGTGCCATTTTATAAAAATACTAAAATTTAAAATAAATTGAGACTTAGCACTATATACCCCAATGAATGGGTAATGGAAAGGTCATTTTTACATTTTCTTTAACTGTTTGATTAAATAACGATGCAGCATTTAAATTAATTTTTGCCAGCAGAAGGTAAGGTATCCGATACCCTAGAGACTAGATAGGTCAGTTAGTATATTTAGACCCAGCAAGTATTACAGTAGTTTTAACTCTTTCAGTTTCAGGACCACATTTTTTCTGGGGTTTGGACAGCATTAATTTTGAGCTGAATATTGGCTATCTTCCGAATAACGGTCCCAAATTATCGAGACAGAAAATATACCCTAACAGGGCCTCAGTCACGTGTCGCACTTCCGGCGACTTAAATTGCACACTTCCGCCACTGCCGAGAGTATCCCCCACGCAACATGAGCAGCGTGGATTGGGGCTAAACTAGATGGCTGGGACTCATGAGCAGCAGCTACCGCATTTCCTGCAGCTGCCTTGATTTTATTTTATCATGAGTTCCAACCATCTAGTCGGCGGTGGCAGTATAGTCCCCGGAAGTGCGCAATTGACACGTGACTGAGGCTCTGTTAGGGTATATTTTCTGCCTCGATAATTTGGGACCCTTATTCGGAAGATAGCCTGAATATTTTTACTCAAAGATGACAAAGCTGAAACCTTCCTGAAAAAAAAAGTATTAGCTGTATCGGAACATATAAAATACTAAATTAAAGATAAATGAGTGCCAAATAAATCTAAACTATTTAAATGTCAGTATTACAACAAAAAATTATTAAAATCACAATATTCAAAGATGTTAGACACATATGAAGATTATTGACACAACAATTTTGTGCTTACCTTACTTTTTTACTTGTTCAGCAACACTGCTATCCAATTCTAAGAATGCACATGTCTTCTCTGTTCAATTATGTGTCAGCCAGTCTTTTTTGAAGCAATTAATTTAAATACTTTGGATGTTATGATCATTTTTGTATGACATGTCAAATTTCACAACAACCAAAAATCTGGAAAACAGCTGATCGAAACATTGATCCGATTGAAATATTTTTATCAATTTTCATATCCTAAACTAAACTATCACCAATAGGTTTGTCACTTAGATACCAATCATAATATCAAGACTGTTGTCATCATCTGGCAGAGATTCATCAGTGACAGAGCAGTATGAACAGTTCTAGACATTTTCCCTTATTATTTAGTATAGAAATTTTTTTTTTTTAATCTGAAAAGAATGCAACGACCACAGTGAACTTGGCAAATGAAAAGACTTCCTGTTGTTAATCCTAATTGTTCAAATACTTGTTCATAAAAGTTTATTTTTCCCTCAAATGGAACAAAATTAGAGTTTCTCTATCATACGCCAATATACTAGCGATTCGTCCATTAGGGATGAATTTATTTGCCAGTATACTTGCGGAAGTCTTTAAAGAGTCAAGTAGCGTAACAATGCTTCAGTTAAAATGAGTTGAAGCAGCAACTGCCAGTGACTGAAGGAGTGAAATAAGTTAAATATAATTAGTTAGTAACAGAACTATAGTCTCGGAACTTTGCATGGATCATTCCTTGTACACTTTGGAATTTTGCATGGATCATTACTTGTACACTTTGGAACTTTGCATGAATCATTACTTGTAAACTTTGGAACTTTGCATGGATCATTACTTGTACACTATGGAACTTCACATGGATCATTACTTGTACACTTTAGAAATTTGCAATGATCATTGCTTGTACACTTTAGAAATTTGCTATGATCATTACTTGTACACTCTGGAACTTTGGATGGATCATTACATGTACACTTGGGAACTTTATATGGAGTATCGCTTGCCTCATTTGATATGCTAAAATTGTGTGTCTTCTTTTTACTTTGGGGATATTTGATACTACATGAAGAGGCTGCAATCTCTTTCATGATGCCACTTTTGTAACACTTTCTGAAAACCATGTAAGTTTTTTGTTTTTTTAAACTAAAACTGTCAACAGTGGGAACTTGGAATCAAATCCTAGTGCTCTAAGGTAATGAAATTAGTCAGTGCAGTCAAGAAACTCTAGACAGTATAATTAAAAAAAAGAAGTTAAAAATGGCTTGGCCACATCATGAGAATGAATCCTGATATACCTGCCAAAACAGCTCTCATTGGACAGCAGAGGAAAAGAGAAAGAAGGAGCACCCAAAAACAGAACAGAGACGAACAATGAAAAGTGAACTGAGTGCTGCATCTCTGACATGGAAAACTGCATTGAAGATTCCACAAGACAGGAAGGCATGGAAAGTCCTCTCTGAAGCCTCGTGAGCCACTAGGCATAAAGAGAACTTACACACATATATATATATATATAAGATATATACTACCCACAGAGCAACATTTTAGAATGCTATAGTAGTTTACATTTATGTTGGAATCATTTGTTTCAGAAATTATCACCATGTTGAAAAGAACGAGCAAGAACAAAGAGATTCAGCTGTTATAAATAAATGTCTCACTCGAACCAACAAACAGGTATGTATGATAGCTGGTACTATAGTGTAGCGTGATTTAGAAGTATGTTGACTACCCTTAATTTAAAAGGTGCAGGGTTAATATTCTGTTTCAGCAATATTGTGTTCAATATTTTGATGATTTTAAAGCAACCTTTAATTCTTGAATAGTGGATCCAGTTTCAAAGGCAGGGGCCCAAAAAAAGTTAATCATTTGTCCATATTCCTTTAAAAATCCATTATTGGGAATTGAGAAGTTAGCGCTCTTTGAATATTTTCTCCAGAACACTGCAGGTGTTGGGAGATGATAAGGCAGACTGGCTGGTTCTGCACCACTTGGTGTTAAATTGATGCATGACCAGCTAGATTTTATGAAGGTCCTTTGTGAGCGAGGGAGCAGTGCAGAAGTACACATAGATCATCATGGTTTGGAAAGAATTGTGCAGCTGGAAATAACCAGGAAATCTGGCCAGCTCTCAGCACTTGGAGAGATGGCAGGAGGGACATACAATTAGACTGCTACCATTAAAATTTAAACTCTGCACTAGTTGATGAAGACTGAGATGGAGTACTTCTTTGGTAATGTCTTCATGCTATGATATCAGTTCTTAATTAACTCAACAGAAATCACTTAGAATAAGCCTTATAGGTCACTGTCCAGACCACGTATACAGTATTAGAAACCATACCCATAATAGAAGATTTATAGTATAGAGGAGTCAGTTAATTAATTCCTTGTGTAGGTTTCAGGTCCCCATTGTGGGGAAAACAAGAATGGACCCACTGCTTCCTCTAAAAGCATGTCATAGGAGTCAGCTAATTGTGTGCTTCCTTTTCTCCCTTACAATTTATTTTTGGGTTGGGGGAGGGGGGGGGGGGCTAAAGGTGCTTGAACCACCTAGGTTTCGGCAGCGAATTTTAATGAACATTGATACATACTAGGCTCACAACACTTAAACTATGAATAATGTGATTCTAAAAGATCACCAGAACAAGATTTTATGGTGGTTTCAGAGAAATCATTTTCACTATCTTGTCAGACAAATTGAAATGTAGAGCGACTCGTTTGAGTGCCTGCTTGTGAATTTTAAAGAGATCTTCACAGAATCTTCTTCTGAATAAATCATTACTATTACTTTATTTATTTTTTACATGTCATTGTTATAATTTTATTTATTAGTATTTTATTCTTGTGACTATTATTATCCCTAGTGGAGTTATTGTTACTGTTATTTCAACCGCTACTATGATAATTACTCCTATTACTTTCATTTTATTTTTAGTGTTAATGTTATTTTCATTCCTTTATTTATTAAATTTGTTCCTTTTCATTTTTTTTCCTATTCATATATTTTAGTTATTCACATACCTTTTCAGTCGCCAGGATACTCTCCCTTGTTATGGTTTTTATTATCAAAGGCTGCTACCAAAACGTCAGATTGTTCATGTATGTGTGTTTTTTTCCCCTTACAATCTTATAAATATTTTTCACCTTTCTTGGTCACAGTTCACTGGATAAATACAAGTCATTATCCTCAGGACACAACCGATTATGTAACCACATGTACACAAAATTCAAAATAGGTGTATCAGCCATGTGCACCTGTGGAAAGGTGCCCCAGACAGCAGAGCATGTACTTCAGGAATGCACCGAATTTGACACATTAAGGCAAACCTTTTGGCCAGAAAGAACAACAGTGGAACATAAACTCTATGGACCACTGAATGAACTAACAACGACAGTGAAATTTATACAAGAGACAAAATTGCTGATATAGACAAATTATTTCAGACGAACGAAAGAAGAAGAAGACTGGATACATTTCTCAATTTATAAATATTACATTTATCCGCAGTGCAACTATTTCAGCCATGAGGCAGTAACTATTGTGTACAAAAGGTTTACAAACCTCTGTCTAATCTGTGGAGTTACGAATGAGGTTGGTATATTTCTTTCATGTTGGTAAAAAGTATGTGTATTTCATATATATTTTTTCATAATAGCTAAATGTTTCTTTAAACAACTCCATGTGAGTTAATTTCTTTTTTAGGAAAACATAAAATTTAGTATTTAACATTTTATCAACACTGAAGATGATCCCATTTTACTTGGTTCCATAGGCAAAGCGAAGAAAAGTAACACTGAAGTTACCACGTATAAATTAGAGCAATACTACAGGGCTCTGTAGATAGGAAGAGGTGGACCAGGAACGGCTCAGATATAGTATATGTTTATGTTTATTCGATGGATCAACATCAGTGGCACACAGGTGTAACCCATAAGTGCTCTGTTCTACTTCTAACTCAAGCCTGAGTCTAAAGTATCTCAGTGCACGGGCAAACATACTGAAATCCCACTAGATACATAATATATGAATGGACTTATAAACATCATGTCCATTGCATCTGACCAACTGGGATCAGATCAACAAGAGTTGGTGTGTTATTGATTGGACAATGATGAATTACCATGCATGTCATAAGAGTTGGCTAAGGAAGGTTAGTGCGAGATTGGCTAGCACATATTTGAGAAAACTTTCTTAACTAATCATGAACATGTCTACAAAGTTTTTTAGCATGGGTCAGTTGGATCTCTCCCTTTTAGAGATGCAAGACAAGAGAAGAATGACAAAGATCTAAGATGGGTTTCTTCCCATAGGGGCCCAGTTGGTCAGATTCACTATGGGGTGAAAAGAATAGACAACAAGCATATTGTAAGAGTCGACTAATAAGGGATGGTAACTGCATGTAGTCATCAGTATATGTTTCCTCAAGCAACAGCCAATCATTTATTTACATTGAAGTTAACTAATCAGTTAACCCAGGTCAGAGCTGACCAACATACGTAGCAGATTATCAGTCATTTAACTTATTAGAGATGACCGATAAACATGGCAGTTTATTAATCTTTCAAGTTGTAAGAGGGGACAAGTGTACGTGGCAGTTAATTAATGTACATGTCAGTTTAACTTGTTGAGGTTCATTGCTGCAGATATCACCCACCTCCATTCACCTCTTTCACTTGTACAAAACAAGCTTGGCGTACTCTGCAGCTCATCTGTGGAACCAACTTCCACAACCAATTAAAAATATCAAAAACCCCTATAAATACAATTGGAAGCTTTTTGAATATTATCTCACTTCAGACTACATGCCCCCTTAGAAGATAAAGTTTCCTAAGAACAATGTTGATTTCCACCAAGATTGATTATATTTAGTATTATAATTGTTTTAAAATGTAGGCATACTTAGAGTGCATTGTTACAAACATGTTATTAATGATGCCTGTAATTGTCATTATTGTTATTATTATTATTATTACTATCTTCTTAAACAATGTGTGCATAAATAATGTATGCATGGCGTAAGGCCAGAAGGGCAGAATGTAAGACGGGCCTGTGTGCCCAATTCTTAACCCTTTGAAAGTAAAGATTGTTCGTTCGTTCGTTCGTTCTTTGGTTGGCCTTCTCTTTCCAGTTGGTGACACCAAGTGTTTGCAGTTGGTGACACCAAGTGTTTGCAGGTCTGTCTGGATATTATCTCTTCATCGGCTTCGTGGTCTACGACCATTCATCTCCCTTGTGTAAACAGTTTTTACTTCTCTGTCATCTGACATTCTCTCAATATGCCCCAACCATTTCAGTCTATTAGCTCTCATGATGCCAGTTATCAGTGGTGATTTAAACAGATTATGAATTTTGTTGTTGCTTCTCACTCTCAATTCCCTGCTGTTTGCATCTATGATGGGTCCAAAGATTCGTCATAAGAGTCTGTTTTTGAAAACCTGTAATAAGGCTTTATCTCCAAGTTTCAGAGCTATGTAATATAAAATGACTGGTCTTGTCAACGTTTTATATATTTTGATTTTAGTGTTGCGAGACAGACACTTTGAGTTTAGCAGATGTTAAAGGGTTAAGCATTTAAACAATGTAGTTACTACAACTATAATTAGTCTTTTTGTTGAAAATAGCTTTGTGCCGGCAGCTTTGGGAGAGCAACGCTAATGTTGGATTGGTAGGTAGGTATAGATTGGTAGGTAGGTATAGATTGGTAGGTAGGTATAGATTGGTAGGTAGGTATACTGATGGATAAACAGATAAAATATTGAATGAATATTTCTTTTCTCCCAAGAATGAACTGGCCATCCAGGAGTTGTTGAATGTGTTCATGGACTGCCTTGGGTCCTATTTTCAAAATGTGGTGGGTATTGTTAAAAACAATGTATTTGCTTTATAAGCAATGAATTTAAAAGAAACTTTCAATGTCAGACATGAACACTGCTTCAGGAGACAGAACAAAAATAGTCACGACAGAACTGAAATGTTTACATACAATGCTAGGTGTAAAAAGGAAAGATCCACTTAGAAATGATAATATCAGGAGGAGAGTCGGCACAGAACCAATACTGAACTTTATAGGTAGACAACAAATCACATGGTTTGGCTATGTCACAAGACTGGCATCAGACAGGGCACCACAGAAAGCAGTGTTATACAGATACAGCGGTAACAGATCCAGAGGTCGACTACGCAGAAGATGTACAGCAGAAATATTAGAGACACTGAAAAGTACTTTATACAAAGTGAACAGAAGGGTTCCAGAGATCTCTTCCTGCCTTAACGCCACAAGGTATTCCATGAGTAGAGGACAGAAGAAGAAGAAGAAAAGAATCAGATGTATCTTCTTAAGAGGGATGAATTTAAGAAAGATGAAGAAAAAAAAGAAATATCTCTATAACTTTTGAAATAGAGCAAAGTGAAGTAGTAGAATAGTAGACATAACAGACATCTGCTTGTACACTGGCGACCGACGTGATTGGTGTACCTGCTTGCCACGAATGGTCTGGGGTAAGTTCCCTGCCAAGTCAGAATTTTTTTCCTGGTCAGTACTGGGGTCAACCCAACCTTATAAAAAATGGGTTCTGGACTGTTGTCAGAATTTTCTTGGAAGAAAAAAGCAACTGAAGCAAGAAAAAAGATAACTGGACATTTCACTTTATATGTCAGGACTTAGAATGTATGAAGGCTTAACACAGAATTTTCTAGAAAACTATTTCTGACCTTATGTTGAAGTGTTTAGCAAGGTAATCGAAGTGAAGTAAAAGTAGTGTGACATTTGCCATGCTGCAACATTTTGTCCAATTTTCCTATTTTTCTAAATACATAATCAGTTAAGTTTTCTTATGTTTTTTTATTTATTTTCAGTCGGAGCTGGATGTATCCTTTTTCATAACTTGTAACAGAAATAGAATGAGTGAATGAATGATTCGATTAATAAGGAACTGACATCACTGCGCAGAGCATTTCACCACATGCTCTACATCCCTTTTCAGTCACCAGTAGAGCTCTCATGTGGTTGGCACCAGTAACATCTTGTTTGAATGTATAGTGATGTTTTCCCCTGCATATTGAGTGACATCCGGCCGTATAGTTAAATAATGCACCAGCAGTAAGTAAAGTCAAGAACCCTTTTTCATGCCTTGAGGCATATAGATTAAATAGGGCTAGACCTATATCTTATAGAACAATCGGCACAAGATGGGTGATGTAGTCAGCATCACGCCGGCTGCCTTTACTTTCCAGGACTGCACCCAGTAACCACTCAAGGCTCAGTCGACCTAGGAGCCAAGGTTATTTAAAAAAAAAAAAAGTTAGGCTCTGCTAGGGATCAAACCCACAACCTTGCGATTCGCAGGCCAGCATCTAGCCACGGCGACTCCCAGTGCACCAGGAATAGCTGTTATACTGAATTTATGATTAGACATTTTTACAGTTACAAAAATAGTACACTATACAATTGTCTATTTATAGTGCTAGAGCCTTGATAGCATAATGGTTATCATGGCTTTTTTCCTTATTCTGGTGGTACGGAGGCATGTTTTTTTAGGCATTATTTTTCACTGCTATGTTATAGACACTTTTTGGTGAGGGCCTATGCTCTGTTGCGAGTTAGAGAGGCAGAAGAAGAAGTAGAATGGAAATTTGAACTCATGATCACTGACCTGGTAAGTGTGACAGGTAAGTGTGCTAGCCACTGCTAGACATTGAATCCTTGTAGAATTCTGTAGCAAGTGTGTTTAATTTCCTTCATTGTTGCCCAGATAGTTTACAACATGGAGAGGGTGTACATGATACTGGATGAAATCATTGTCAACGGGAGCATAGCCTTCACTAGCAAAGAACGAGCTCTGATTCCTCTGCAGCTGTTGGATGCTGGCAGTTGAGGCAAAACTGGCAATTATTGCAAATGTTTCTGCATTTAAACTTTGGTATGGCCATTCATTTAAACATATACCTTGTTAGAAACAACACTACAGGCAAGGTCACAGTCATATTAATTAAAAGCAGTTAATAAGTAACAAGATGAACACAACAGACATCAAAGTACAGTATAAATATAAACTCAAGTTCTAGATCAAGAGGTATAACTAGATAACTACAATAGACAGCTAGAAGAAAGACACACACAGTCTGTTTACATTATAACCTTGAGAATCAGCTGCCATTAAGAAAACAGGTATCACTAATGGTATTTATCATACCACTAGAGTGAAGTGAGAAACATGCCATGAGTATGAAAGATCATCATCATCATCATCATCACTACCAATATCCACACGACCATCTTCCCCAGTTCTTCTAATTGACTCCTCTGGTTAGCATAATGATGAACCTCTCTACACAAACACATGAAGAAGAGAGATCTGCTACAATACAAGTAATGTCATTTGGAATTGTTCTGACCATGCATGGTTAACATGATTTGTCCATCAGAGATGGTTAACAAAATGTGTCTGACAGTGTTGCTTTAACATGATTTGATTGGTTAACATGATATGTTTATCATTTATGGGTTAATATGATTTTGTCTGACAGTAATAGGTTAACATGATTTGTCTGACGGTGATGGGTGGGTTAGCATGATTTGTCTGACAATATGGGTGGGTTAGCATGATTTGTCTGACAATATGGGTGGGTTAGCATGATTTGTCTGATAGTGATGGGTAGGTTAGCAAGATTTGTCTGACAGTGGTGGATGGGTTAGCATGATTTGTCTGACAGTAGTAGGTGGGTTAGCATGATTTGTCTGACAGTAGTGGGTGGGTTAGCATCTTTTGTCTGACAATATGGGTGGGTTAGCATGATTTGTCTGATAGTGTTGGGTAGGTTAGCATAATTTGTCTGACAGTGATGGGTCGGTTAGAATGATTTGCCTGACAATGATGAGCGAATCAGCATGATTTGTCTGAATTAATGGGTGGGTAAGCATGATTAGTCTGACAATGATTTTGGGTTAGCATGAATTGTCTGACAATGATGGTGGGTTAGCATGATTTGTCTAACAGTGATGGTTTAACATGATTTGTCTGACAGTGATGGGTTAACATGATTTGTCTGACAGTGATGGGTTAACATGATTTGTCTGACAGTGATGGGTTAACATGATTTGTCTGACAGTGTTGGGTTAACATGATTTTTCTGACATTGATGAGTTAACATGGTTTGTTTGATGGGTTAAAATACTGACATGGAAAATTTGAGCTGGTGAGTGTGATTATTTTCTGTGCAGTGTTGAACATTCTGACAAGCCAATTTTGGTAGCAAATGTGTACGGTACACTAGGACAAAGAACTATTTGGACATAGATCTTGTATATGTATGTTTCCGAATCATGTAATAAATAATCTTGATTTATTTGTGATTTTAATTATTATTTCATTACTTATGGCAACATACTTTTGCGAGTAATGGATTATTTCACAATCATTGGAGAAGAAAATTTTGGGATTTTGAATGACGCACCGTACATTCCCAGGTTCCATTGTGAGGAAAATAGGAATATGCCCAATGCCTCCCTAATAAGCGAGTCATAGGAGTCAACTAAGTAAGGGCATCCTTCAAAGTCGTAAATCTGCCTGTGAGGCAAGGAACCCAGAGTCTGCATATAAATAAGCCAGATCTATGAAATGGATGTGCACACAACACTCAGGTTCCAGAACATGGCTAAAATCCAGAGGTGAACAAACACCCAGAACTTTTGAAGAGGGGAAGAACTTTAATGGTTACAAAAATATTCTTAGTTAGAATGCCATGTGCAAGACATGGAAAAAATACAGCTATTCTACAAAAATGAACATTAAGACTCATAAATAGCACCATGTCTCACATCTCTTGCTTTATGAAAGATGAGTGTTTGGAAGGGCAGAATGTGAGGCAGGCCTGTGTGCCAAATTTGTGACCCTTTGAAAATAAAGTTTGTTCATTCTTTCAATACTGAAATACTTCAACTATTTTTAAAGTGCTGCAGTGGTTTGGAAAAAGCAGTAATGAAACACGTGATTCCAAGGAGAAGAGGCTGGGGTGGACTAGCATAAAGGTGGACACAGGATGTTGAAATCTTTAGCATGAAATTACAAGAGTAGAGGAGTTTGTAAAGGAACAAGCGGCTTTCCAGCAGGCCGTGATCAAATTGATACTGTGTTTAAATATTATGTTAATCTTTGTTTTTCTTTAGCATGCTCATCAGTTTTATAGATCTGGCTTGCTTGGGTGCAGACTGCTGGTTCCTTACCTGTCAGGCAGATGCACTCTGATTGCAAAGGAAAACCTGCAGTTAGTCCCCTTTCACGACATGCTTGTTAGGGATGCATTTTGTCTATTCCCTCCTCCCCTCTCCCACACACACACACAGTAAGGCTCCAGAACCTACTCTAGAAATCTGTTAATAAGTTGCTAGTGCGTATTGTAACATTGATTCTGTATAAACAGTTTGCCCGTGTTTGTTCTTCATGTTCACCAGCTCTAAACTGAAGCGAAAAGTTCTAATTGCTTATCCACTTCTACACTTTAGTCTTGTTCCAGTTCATCCACCTCTAGACTTTAGTCTTGTTGAGCAACATGAGTGTTACATGCACTTTTGTTTTATAGAAACCCCTAATTAGTCGACTCTTATGACATGCTTGTTAGGGAGGCTGTGGGTCTGTTCTTGTTTTCCCCACAATGGAGCTCTGGAACCCACATACAGGAAGCCTGTCTTTGCTGCACATTATGTCGGTCATTTGAGGCATACTGTTCTGGTCAAATGTAGCCTCTGTGATATTAACCAGCCAAGCTTCTACAGCAAATTAAATAACAAAAACACTGAAAGCCAAAGCATAATTCTCAGGCTCTTTATTTGTAAACAAAACCCATCGCTAGTTAAATTGTTATTTCAAAGCCATGCCACCCCAACTACACACCCAAAATGCTTTTACTTTACACAGTAAACTATGTCATACCCAAATACAGTAAGTAACATCAAGTAACATCTCATGATTTACTTTACAATGTGTTAATGAAAACAATTACAAGCATTTGGCTGCAATCGTTGTTGAAATTAAGAAGATACCTTGTAAGCACAGATCTGATACGGAAATTCCTCTTATCGGGATAAGAGTTTAAGCATAAGGTTATTTGCCAGGGATAAACAAAGTTGTTCTTCGTAACAGAAATTTGCCACATCTGTGATCGCCTTAACTCGTTTAGTACCAGAATGTTTTGTAAGAGAGGCCAATTGGAGAAATATCTGTGATTAGAATTTATCTATGCATTTTACTCAAAACAGCAAGATAACACCTCCAGCTATAGACCGATCAGTCTTACCGGCTGCCTCTGTAAAATAATGGAACGTATTGTCAACCTTAGACTCCAATGGTACTTGGAAAGTGAAAACATTTTCATGCCGCAGCAGGCAGGATTTAGACAGTACTACTCCACAGAAGACCAGACAACTTACCTTTCACAAGAAATTGAGGATGCCTTCCAAGAAAAAAAGCTAGTGCTAACGGCATGGATAGATCTGAAGAAAGCCTTTGACAAGGTCTGGAAAGAAGGTCTACTGAAGAAACAGAGACTGCAGGGTGAATGGGAGTATGTACAAATGGGTGAAAGCATACTTGTATAACAGAAGATCTCGAATACAGATAGATGGACTTAAGAGTAAGGAAGTTTTGCTGCACCATGGCGTACCACAAGGAGGTGTCCTGTCCCCCACACTCTTCCTAGTCTATATCAATGACCTGCTTTCTGAACTACCCCATGGAATTAAAGCTGCAATTAGTGCTGATGACTTGGTACTCTGGTGTACAAATGAACATGCAACAGTGGCCACCAGACTGCTACAAAGAGCCATAGATGCAATGGCTGAATGGGCTGACAAATGGTGTGTCAGCATCAACATAGGAAAATGCAGCACCACCCTCTTTACCCTTTCTCCTAAACAAAAATCAGGCGTCATACACATAAATGGAGTACCCCTGAGAGAGGATAAGGAGCCCACATACCTCGGAGTAACGTTTGATGATAGGTTAACATGGAGAAAACACATCAACAGGGCAGCAACCAAAGCCAGAAGGAGGGTAGCCATTCTGAGAAAACTAAGTGGGACCACATGGGGTGCTAGCGGGAAAATAATTAGGAAAGTTTACCAACAAAGTGTTCGACCACATCTTGAATACGGATCAACAGCATGGAGTTCGGCTTCAAAAACCACATTGCAAGAATTAGACAAAGTGCAAAATCAAGCGCTCAGAGTTACCACAGGCAGTATGAAATCAACACCTATAGCTGTGATGGAGAAAATGGGGATGACCCAAGCACTGAGTGAACGCAGAGACACCAAGATGCTTTTACAAGCAGAAAAGTTTCTTAGTATGCCTAGTCACCCAATGAATGAAAGATTCCAAAATTTAGCTTAAGAGAAGTAGTTTTATCCACCAGGCCAAACGACTCGGCAGACAAACCACTGATTTGCCTGCAACTGATAGATCCTTAAATGCTGTCCCAGAACGGACCCCCTGGCAGGAGAGAGGAGTATAAGTTTCCAATACACATCAAGACTGAAGTGAAAGGGGAATTTGACAAGGAAGAACAAAACAGTGTGCAGCGCAAAACAGCCACCCTCAGTCTACTTGATAATGAATACCCACATAATCTTTGGGTCCGTGTTTACACAGATGGGTCAGCAGAAAGCGCAGTCAGAAACGGAGGTGCAGGAGTGTACATTGAGTATCCTAATAATACCAGGGATACAGCCAAAATACCAACAGGAAAGCACTGTCACAACTATGATGCAGAAGTTCAAGCCATCAAGATAGCGGCAGAGAAACTACTAAATACAGGGTATTTTTCACAACCAGTAGTATTCCTGACAGATGCAAAAGCGGTACTTCAGTCACTCCAGTCT